CAGTTTAAGAATTTGTAGAAAATGCGCTGGAGCCGGGAACTGAATTTGAATATATAGCCCCATTATTTTTTCATATCATATCCATGCCATTTTGAATAAAACCAAACTTTTTTCTTTAATACTGACTTGTTTTCTTTTCCTAAAATTGAAAATGTAAGAAGACATAGATAAAACACGTCACGAAATAAATAATACATCCAAACATTTTCGGAAAATTTCATAAATAAAATTATCTTCTGACACTTTATTTTCGCATTTTGGTGACGTTTAAAATATAGTTTATCTTTATTCTTTGCTCTCCTACTTCGTTATATTTTATTTAATATTTAAAAATGGCTCATAGTCTAAGTAAAAACACGAATAGCATTCGAAAATTGACCATTTTTTATAAGACTGGAAAATCGATCCGGGAGATCTCCAAATTAATTTTTATTATTTACTAGACGCTAAGCGGCCAACCTTTGTCTGGCTTTTAAATGTACTGTAAAAATGCCAAACATTAAATTAAAAACCTGCACAGAATTTTACTCTGCTGAGTAAAATTTATATATTTTGAATAAATTTATATATTTTGAATATATAAATATATTTTGAATTATGTCATCTGCAACGCACAATTTTGATTGGTTATTGCTTTCTGATGATAGTTTCATTCTTTTAGAAATTTGGTTGGCAACAGTTTTTCATTCATTGCGTTGGATACTGGACTTCTGACTGTTTTCCTCTTGAAAATGTGAGATTTATTTGCTTATTTCATTGTAATTTTTTATATTATGTTTTAATTATATATAATTTTAATTATATAAAAAGTTTTGTATGATTTTTTTAGGAAACACAGTTCTTAACTTCTTTTATACCATTTGAGTTCTTAAAATTTTGAAGCGGAAAGTTTGTTAATTTATTTATTAGGATAATTAATATTTGTATTAGGGGTGTAATGCCCATAACCCGAGAAGGAGAAGGAAAAGCCTAGCCAGCGGAATAATTAGTCCGACGGAGCAGGTGGTTCGTTGGACGGAAGTAGAAAGGACAAACAAGAAGACGAGGGGGGCGAAGAGGACTTTGCACCCTGGTTGTCGGACGGGACGGTCGGAGTTTTTTTTTTGGGGGGGGGGATGAGAGTCGCCATTTTCTTTCGTGATGCAGAGATTGTTTTTCTCATCCGGCGGAGACCATGCCGGACTTACCTGTTCATGCTTGTACATTTATGTATAATAATCAAGAATTGTTTACTTATTAAAGTTATTGTTAAACAAACAAACAAAAAAAAAAAAAAAAAATGGGTGTCATCTATGCGTCTATCGACGGTGACATGTGTGAAGCAACTGAACCCTACGCTACGATATAATACAACGATGCTTATCTGTCTCGGCACGACTACCACAGTCAACTACAAGGGGATGTTGCTTATTTCATTGTAATTTTTTTAATATGTGATACATTTTTTTTTTTCTGTTGGTGCCTCGCGAGACACATGCGAGTCAGAATAAGAAGATTGTGATGTGCGCGTTGCGTATCGAAAAATCAAAAGAAAATAAGCAGCATTTTATCTCATATGTTCAACAGTCAGCAATCCAGTATGCAAAGCCTTGAATAAAAAACTGTTTCCAAAACCACATTTCTAAAAGAATGAAACTATTCAAAATGAATGATCAAAATAGATAAAATAAAAAAAAAAATCTTATTCGAATTTGGAAAAAATCTATTCGATGTGCACTAGCTCTTCTCTTTCGCAGACCTAGGTCTATTAGCTTACGCGTAGCACGAACGAAAGACACACATACATAGACAAACTCTTATTATATGTGGAGATAGAGATTTAATATTTAAAATATTTAATATAAATATTTAATATTAATTATTTAATATTTAATTTATTTATTAATATTTAAAAATGGATCGTAGTCGTAAGGAAACAATGACTAGCATTGGAAAATTGACCATTTTTCGGCATAAGGTGCAAAATCGATCCCAGACACCTCTAAATCAATAATTTTATTCTCTTCTACGGTGCAGTATGTCATAAAACTCTTTATAGAAGAAAATCGGATCGAAAATGAAGTAAGAAGAGGTCGTCCGGCAGTTAAGTTAATTCAACGTAAACACAGATTTATAGTTGGAAAATTTGTGAAAATCCACGTTTGAGCACTGAAAAGATTTCTACAGAATTTACTGAAAAAGTTTCTACTTCGGTTTAATCTGAAATTGTTCGACGAGTACTCAGATCAGCTGGATTACATGGGCGCTCTGCTCGAAGAAAAGGTTTTGTAAGTGCGAAAATAGAAAGCTGAGGATTTCCTTCGCAAAATCAGTGGTAAATAAACCCGAAGGAATTATGTATTATTTGCAGGTAAAAGCAAATTTAACTTTTTTGGTTACGATGGGTATATAATTGTATAGAGAAGAAAAAGTGAGGATTTTTAATCTCAGGTTGAAACAGTAAAACATGATGGTGGAGGTGTTTTTATATGGGGGTGCATGTCAGCATCAGAATTAGGAAGTTGAGTATTTATTGATGGAATAATGAACAATGAACAATGCTCTTTATTTATATATTTTAAAAGATAATGTAAAATTATCCTCCCAAAATTTGGATATAGGAAGCAATTTATATATATATATATATATATATATATATCAAGATAACGATTTTGAGCGCACGGCCCTCAACGTTCGCCTTTGATATGTGTATAATTGTCCGCAAGTTCTGAAACGACACCTCATTCGCCAGATTTAAACGCAACAGAGCACACTTGGAGAGAACTAGAAGTTAAGAGTACGAAGACACAACATTAAAAAGAAAACCAAACTGGAAACAATGGAGGAACACCAATGCAGATAGCTAAAAAAAACTGGTGAACTCCATGGCCAGATGTTTAAAAGCTGTTATAAATGCTGCAGGATATACTACAAAATACTAGCTGACAGAAATACTACAATATTTACTAATACATGCAGATTTCTTTAAAGTGTATGATAACTTTTGAGAGTTAACTTTTCTGCTACATTTTGGTTATTGATTTTCCGAAAAAAAAAGTTTTACTTGTTCATAAAAAATTAATGTAGATTTGCTAAGAGAAATTTATAGATATTTTTTATAAAATTATCATTCTCAAATATTTGTTTTTATTAATGAATAAGACAATATTTCACTGAAACTTGTAAATTTACAAATACTTGTGTGAGCCATTGTAAATGAATTTTGAAAGAAACAGAATTTCCAACAGAATAGCTATTTATTTAATTACTAAATTTAGCATTTTAAATAAATTGTTCTGCCAAAATACTTAACACAAAATTTGAAATAAATTATGGTATCAAATTGTTCAAGCATCTAACAAAATTACTGAAATAATTATTACCTGTTTGAATAAAATATAAATTATAATTTATGTTCAAATATGTCATATTATAAAAATACCCGATCTGATGCGAATTTTTAAATAAATTGTGAAATAAAAAAATTTTGATAACAATTTTTTTTTTACCTCAAGGGAATCACTTATTAAAACATATACTACTCAAACATATACTATCGCGGATAATTATAAATAAAAATGAAATATTATTGGTATTAAATTTCAAATTATTTCTATCAAAATACATTTTAGATGCAGACTTTCCGATAAATTCGAACAACTTTCTTCAAAGTAAATTTTTAAATAAACTTATGTATGGAAATTCTTCCTTTGATGCGAAACTTTAAAAAAATAGTTTTATTAAAATATTTCCCTTCGTACTACTTTTGAATATATTTTGACACCAAAATGCTTTGAAAGCAGAGAATGTTACTCATTTAATAAATTAAAATTACTGGACTAATTAATTAGTGCGTAATAAAAATATAAGTTATTAAGAATTTTATATCAAATATGTTTTGTTGTCAAAGTAGTAATTGATTTGGAATAAAACTTTCAAGCTAATATACCTATCAAAATTCTTCATTTGATGCTAACTTTTAAATGAAATGTTCTATCAAAGTCTTTGACTTGAATAGACTTTTAAATAGTATTCTGTATCCAAATACTTCGTGCAAACTTCAAAAGGAATTCTGGCATCCAAATACTTTGACAACAAGATTATTTTCCGCCAAGTGAATTTTAACGATTTAATAAAATTAATTATTTACATAATTACTATGCGCTGAAGAAAAACAATGTGATTAAATATAGAATAAATTGTAAATTCTCAAATTTTAGCTCAGATTTAAGAAAATAGCTCACCTAAGCAACATAACTTCAACTACTACGCTACCGTTTGATTATGAAGAAAGTAAAATTTTGACTAAATATTTAACTTTTAAATAAATTATTCTATCAAAATTATTTCAGTGAGGCAAACTTTTTAATAAATAATTCTGTCAAGCTTACTTAGTGATACAAACTTTTAAATAAATTATTTTATCAAAATATTTTATTTAAATATAAATTTTTAAATAATATATTTCGTTTAAAGATCAAATAAGGTAAACTGTGGCATCAAAATATTTCAATAGAAAAAACATTTAGGAGCAAAAATTATTGAAATAATTAACTATGAAATAAAATAAAATTATTATAATGAAAATTATTAGCTATTTTTAATTACTTTTGCTCCAGTTTTAAGAACGCAAGCAATAAATAATAAAAAGCAAACAGCTCACTGAAACAACATTTTCTGCTACTCAATTTTTTCCGTCGATCAGGAGCTAAAAAGAACATTACTTCAAGCTCTATGTTTTGTTATTATTTTTATATGAATTTTACCATCAAATTCCTTGATTTAATACAAGCTATTAAATAAGATGTTCTATCAGAATGCTTTCTTTGAAACAAAGTTTAAATAATTGCTCAGGAAATAACTTTATTCGATATAAACTCTAAACCCATGAAATTACTTCTTTTATGTAAATTTAAACAAATTTTTGCATCAGCATAATACTCAGACTTTTTTTTTTTTTTTTTTTTTTTTTGGTTTGTTTAACGGTTCAAACAACGAGTAGCAAAGAACAAACAGCTTACCCAAACAACAGTTTCTCCATGCGCGGTATCATCTGCGGATGACGAAAGTAAACACGACTCAACTCGACTAGCCGATATTCGATCTACCATCTGCGGCAGAATCAGTTAGTCGAACCGCCTCACCTTGAGATCATTTTTTCTCTTAAGATCCCGTCTCGCCTACCCAGAAGGCCTGCGGCCAGCAGGCTAATTTGGCTGTTTAAAGAGGCAATTTCTATTCGCACTTGCCATTGTTCCGTGATCTTAAATTTGCATCAAGGAAAATGAAATTCGATTCACTAGACACTGATGCCATTCCTTTCTTACGAAATTCGAGGGAACGGATTATTAAAGATGCTTGACTGATCATTCGATAATTTTAAAAAAGGGAGAGTCAAAAATATTCCGGATCTTCTCGGTCGTCAGCTTATTTATCTATTTACTTTTGGGGATTAAAAAAATTATCTCGAATCAGTGGAGATAACATATTTGATTGATCGACAAATTATCGATTGCCAAAGGGTTCCATAAAAAATCTCAAATTAAAACGAAACAAAAAAGTGCAATTATCGTATTAAAAAGCAATATTTTTCTGGTAAATAGACTGAGGGAAAATGCTTAATACCGTAAATAATTTGAGTGAAATATTTTAT